AAGAATATAGGTCAACATTAGACACACCAGGCAAGCCAATGGCTGAGATTGTACCTGCTACCTCCACAATATCGCCTGGGACAATGTCTCGGGCTCGGATCCGCTGCACTCCATTCCTGTCTGCTCTGATCACCTTCCCCATTTCTGGTTCATATTCTTTTAGGGCCTCAATTGCACTCTCAGCATTCCTCTCCTGCAAAAAAAAGACAGCTTTTTAGAACTGGAACTTTTCCAACTTAGAAGTCCTCTGAACAATCTGCATGTCTCAGGGGAAAACATTTTTCCACTTGAAATTAAAATAAAAGAACTACCCCATTTAGATACAGAGATGGTATTTACCACACGGAGGGCCTTTCTGGTGACTGCCCAGGAGCGCTGCTGCATACCTTGTTTTGAACCCTATGTATTAGTATTGTGATGCTATTCTGCAAATAGAAAATATCCACTTGGTTTGTTAGATTGTTGAACCAGGTTCTTTCTGTTCTGGTTGCATTGTTTCATATTGGATTATTTTGATAATTCTTTTATTGCTTTCAAATGACTATTTTGGAAACATTAGCATATGTGCATTTGGAACAAATTTGTCCTCAATTGCCTTCTTTAAAAAGTTGCCCCAGCTATTTTTGTAACCTCATTTACTTTCGAAAATATATTTCCCGCCAATGTCAATTTGGCACGTGTTCAATAAAAATTGCATTCTCTTCTATGCTTGTATCAATTTGTGAGGAGAGACAATGGTATGCAAGGCTAGAGCTGAAAACTATCTTTATTTTTAAATTAACTCCCCTAAGTTAAACTACTTGGATTAATATCTAGACCAACATTTATTTTTCAGACTGCAACATCCAAAACAGTACGGGGCGTCACTTAGCTTAAATATTATACACAAACTATGCAAAGGAAATTGCCATAAAAATAAATACAAATCTGTATGCATGTCTTTTAAAAATGCAGAATTATGCAGGAACTGAATGGAAAAGATGAATGATTTATTTGAAGGTCATAGAGAGGACGGGGTCAATCTATTCTCCCAAGCACCTGAGGGCAGGACAAGAAGCAACAAATAGAAATTTATTAAGGAGAAATCCAACAGAACTGAGGAAAAATTTCTTGGCAGCGAGAACAATTAATCAGTGGAACGGCTTGTCT